AAGACCTCAGATATTTCATCTGTAATAGATTAAGGTCATCTTTGCACTAAAGAACAAGTCTACATTATCTTATAATTCAATTTAAAACACGTGCATGTGTACATATGATGTAACTAGTACTGATTTTAGGGAACTCTGGTAGCTTAGTATACAAAAGGTTGTGCTACCAAGCCAAAGGCACATGGTTCAATTCCACTAGCTGCACTGTGGGATTTACAGCCTCTGAAAACCCACTGAAGGGTTAGCTATGTGTTGGTTCTGACTCAGTGCCACATAACAGTAACTGGGAATGTTGTTGGTAGAGAGCTGTGCTGCTAGCAGAAAGGCTATGCATCTCCGGTGGTTCGACTCCACCAACCAGTGTCTCTAAGGGAGAAAGATGAACAATCTTCTACCATGTTGTTTACCGTCTCCAAAACTCCACTACAGCTATGAGTCACTGACTTGACAGTATGACTTTGATTTATCTGACTTTGATTACTGATCTGAACACATTTTCAGAAAGGGTGAATTTCTTTCTGTTGGTTTCTACTTGCTTTTGGATATGTTGGTCCACAAAGAGTTGACAGCTAAGGGAAGAGGTTCATTTCCTTGGCCTTGGCCCAAGATGGTCATAAGAAAGCTATAGGTGGTAGGGACCCTATAGGATTTGTGTTCTCTCCATCAGGAGATGTATTGCACTGCGAAATTCTGAAGTCAGGGACCACCCCAAATGAAACTAACTTGCATTTTGTTCAAACCATAATATTTTCAGTCGGTTCCTGTGCGTCTGAAAGTTGGATAATGAGTAAAGGTGACAGAAGAAGAATTAATGCCTTTGCGTTGTGTTTCTGGTAAAGAGGAATGGATATCTCATCAACTGCCAAAACACCAAACAAGTCTGTTTTGGAGAAAGTGCAACTAAGATAGGTGCTCTTTAGAGGAAAAGATGGTAAAACTTCTTCTTTCATACTTTGGACATTTTATCAGAAGGGGTCAGTCCTTGGAAAAAGACATCCTGCTTGGGGAAAGGAGAGAGTCAGTGAAAGAAAGGAAGACTCAGTGAGATTGACACAGTGCCTAACAGAACCTTACAGAGATTGTGAGGTGGGTACAAGATAGAGCAAGGTTCTGGTCTGTGGTTCTTAGGGTTGCTATGAGCCATGGTCGACTCGATAGCACCTAATAACAAAACCATCAACAACAACGGGCATAAGCACAGTAGAGATTGAGGATGGCCCAAGACTGAACAGGGTTCATCTTGTCGTACACATGGGTGCTAGAGGGTGGAGCCAAGTCAAAAGCACTGTAACAATAGCAACGATACCTGTCTCTCAATAACAAAGAGCCATTGGAACAATTTGCTTTGGGCTTTGGATAGTGGGCTTGGGGTAAGAGACAGCAGGTATAGGAAAGACAGAAAACTAGAAGAATCAAAGAGTTGAGGTTTTTAAACACATGATGCTAAGATTAAAGCTTAGATTTCTGAAACCATTGGCCTGACCAAGCCACCGACTTCTGAGCATAATATTCTACATAAGGGTTCTCAACATTCTTAACACTCTCAGATGTGATTTTCATATGGAGCATAAAGACAAATGGGACACTGAAATGAGGCTGGGGAATGTTTTTGGATTGTTTGAAACTAGTAGGTTGAAGTTGCAAGGTCAACTATTTCCTATCTCTAAAGTACGGAATGGTACCAGCACAGAGGGATGAACATGAGACCCACGGCAGCTACATGCTTTGGAAGGATGAATTCACCTTTTCTCATCTCCGAACCGTGCGTAGCAGCCTTTACTGAGCCATGAATCATCCGTTTGAGGCGAGGGGAATAGAAAATTAAACATAATTTATGCTTTGTTAATTGAAATCAAATACAAAAATCAATCTCCCGTGAGTTGCGATCTTCGCACTTAAATAGTGCAGGAGTGTTATTAACCTGACTCTATTTCAGCAGGTCGACTCGGATCGTCTGGATGGAAAAAGAATTTCTTTGTCAAATCTCTCCACTGAAGAAAGGAGTCACAAAGATCAAGCTAGTGTAGACACTGCAGAAAATAGAACTTAAACATGTCAAGTTTACACTTCTTTTTTGAGACTAAGAATTTTCAGCCATCTCACCGACCAGACCCTTGAAAAAGATTCTTAAGATCCCAGGGTTTATGTTTCTGCTCTCCTTCTACAGAGAATTCCAGCCTATGGATATATGCAGGGCTGTATAAACGATAATGTTTAGTTGATAAAAATTGGGTGAGGGTTTCATTTATTTTTCCCCCCTTTCACAGTGAACGTATTACTGTGTACATGGACTCAACAATAAATGTCTTAGCTGTGAAAAAGTTCTCATTTGTAAGGCTGTTTCTCAACCTGGCTTATCAATCCATTCCTTGGGTGTTGCTGTAGTGGATTACTTAATACAGCTTTTCCAGCTGTTGTTGTTTTGTTACTCTTATTACAAGGCTGAGTAAGACTGTGTCAGTGTGTTTGTGGTACATCAAGGGGATTGCATCATCCGCTCAAAATGTAAAGAATCATGTGAAAAGGTGAAAAATGACGTCTTCTGCGTGACAGCGTACAACCAAGATACGTAGACTATTAATGTGAGGACGGATCAGTTTGTCCGTCCTGTCAAACTTAATCTGAGCTGTCTCAGAGAAACAGAAAGTTGAGTTCTCAACATAACCATTAAGAAAGAAAAATGAGAGCTTTTAGTGTCTCTTTTGACCTTCAATCTGTGCATAAGCCAGAAAGGGAAAGCTGTGATAGGACAGAGACAACGCGAGACCAAGAGGGAGGAGCTGAGGTGGCAACAGCAACAGTGAGCACAGAGGGAACCGCAGAATCTTGTGAGACACTGTCGTGGGCTCTCGGCACACAGAGTGAGAAAGTGAAGTACTTGCTGGCAAAGTGGGTACCTCTGGGCACTAGCCAGGAGAGCTAGACCTACTGACCCAGGAAGCTAGAGCTGGTACGCTTTGGGTCTAAACTTAATGACAGAGTGGGCATGACATGTAACTGAAGGAGCTTAGAGAGATTTGGGACACTTACCTGAGCTGGGCAGAGGCCAGGGTCTTGCAAAGGATCAGAGAGAGGGTTGTTCTCTTAGCTGCAGCCATATTGCTGTCTTCCCATATATATCTAGATTCTAACAGGTTACTTCTCCAGTAAACTATAATTGGGAACACTGAATGTGAGTTCTTTGTGGCCATTGCAACAAATGATCAAACACAGCAGGAAAGCAGAGACCACTTGGGAGGGAGGCTTGGTGTTATAATTGTTAGAAAGTGTGGCGCACAGGGGGCATGTTTAACCTTGCAACTACTGGCTTCGTGCTGTTGATGCTATTGATGGGGATCCTTTCACCTCGTGAAGTTAGTAGAGGTTAAACACTGCCTTCCTTCCCAAAACAACTACCGTGTTAAGAGAGAGAGAGAAAAAAATGGCAGCTGTTTTAGGAGTAACTTTTTATTTTTCTGTTTTGAGACCTACTCTTCCTTAAAGTCTTTGCCTCTGAGTCTCTGAACTCGGTCCTTCCAGTCATGCTAGAAAGTGTGCTGCCCGGTGTCCAGGGGAAGATGGCTGGTGGCCAGCGCAGAGGTGACCAGTACAAAAACACCACTGGAACCCATTCATCAGGTTGCATTAAGCTTTATAACAACACAGTTTTCATTTAGCAGGAAATGACAGTTTAATAACAGTAGAACAAATTTAACTACCCCTCTCATACAGATTTCTGATTTTACGAGAACAATTCTTGGTGTTGAGATCTGTGAACAAATGCTTTATGTCAAATGCTGCATTTGAATTGCATCAAAATAATGGGGAAAGACACTATCTGGCAGCCCTTGATGGGGGTGACAGCAGACAGCCCTTGTCCTTTCCACCCTCTCCATACACTCGATCTGACAAAGGGAGTCAGCCTTCTTACTGATACCCCCCTACATGCCAACGCTGAATAAAGCAAATGAAGCATGAGATGACCATGAGGGGCTGTGGATGGGGCAATAGGGGGGAAATGCAGCCGCACCCCAACCTTACTGTGTGGCTAAGGGTTACTCAGGACAAGAGACATGCCAACTCTCAGGTCCCTGACCCCCTGAGGACCCTAGAGGCCAGAGCCCACCAAAAATGACATGACTTAGAATCCTGGTTCTGGAGGCTAGGATCTTGAGATAAGGAGATTTCTCAAGAGAGAAAGGACTGACTAGTTTTTGCCTTTCAGCTTCATCTTTGTCAACTTCAGGACTCAGGCACAATGCCACACTACCAGATCAGTCTTGTGGGCCTGATGCCAACATGAGGGCATATGCTAACCATCCCTACAGCCAAAGATGCTTATAAGAGACACCCGGCCCCTGACCATGTTCTTTGATGAAACTCCCATGGGACCAGTTGTGAGTGTGTGCGTCTGGATGGTAGGAAGAGGGGGCGTGCATGACTCCGCTGTCAAAATGGGAGATGGGGTAAGTCAAGGAGTTGTGGGATAAGGACTTTAAGGAGAAGGACCTTAGAGGGCGGGTCTTGCTCCCCAGGAGCCCTGGAACACTCCGCTGCAAATATCATTCTGCAGGGATGCTAAAACAGATGCTCACGTGCCAGGTGCTTGTTGCAGGCTCACGGCTCAAACTCAAACTCCCCAAACCAAAGAGCAGGCTCCCACCAAGTTGACCTGCCTTGTTCACTTGCAGATAATATATTCATGAGACTTTCTCTGACTTTGACAGTGATTTCCCCTCTACCTTCACACTATAGAAGATAAGGTTTAGGAGGGAGTTCTTACAGCCATGTGCTCAAGCCGATGCTGTACCAAGCCAGGCCCGCTTGCTCTACGGGGATGCCGTGGCACCCACCCCTTTGGCTAACCACCCATGTTGGAGGCAATCTTGCTAGGGTGAGGGAAGGAAATAGAATTGGCATTCCAGCAAGGCTGAGGCTACAGATCCTGGGGAGTTTTGGGACTCAGGTCAAGCAGCCTCCATAGCTCTTCATTCGCTGGCTTTTGTTTCACACATCAAGCCTCAATTGCCACTCTCTTCACGTTCCCACTGGAAATCCTGACCAGTCATTTGGTAAAACATCATGTTGAAAGGTTTGTAGAACTTGCGCAGTCTGTGGATCACATCTGGGTCGATGCGAGGATGAGTCCGACCTTTGCTCTTTCCTAAGCACCGCGGAGCGCTGCTGTCTTCTGGCTTCTGCAGGCAAGGGAACCCCTTGGTTTTGTTGAAATAGAAATGCTTCTCAGTCACAACGCGCTTGAGGCCTAGGAAATCCTGTACTTTGGCCATTTCCCCTGCAGGGTCCACTATGAGTCGCTCACCACTGACAAAGAGGATCTGAGACAGAGGGAAATATTGCAGCCAGTTCTCCAGGTGTAGGGCATAGATGCCTATTCGAATGGCACTCCAGGATGCATCGATCAGCCCCAGGGTCCTGTTTTTGAAGGCCAGCACCTCAAAGGTGGGGATCTCGGGTTTCTTTGACAGTGTCTGGGTGTAGTCGGAGATAGCCCTGGTCACAGGGTTTCTCACCACCACAATCAATTTGATGTCCTTCGCCATGGAGTGGATGCGCTTGGGGGCCTCGTTCGTCACAAAGTAACTGGGCGTCTTCTCCATGGTTATCTGCCCATCCAAAGTCTTGGGCATCAGATTTCTAGAAGGAAGAAAAGAGAAGAGTGGTTATTCCTATTCCACAAAGTGTGAATATTTAGGCTGGCACAAAAGGTTTCATAAAGCCACTAGGGGATAATGAACCTAACTGAAAATACTTACAAGTTCTTCCTAACTCTGTGTACAAACTACAGTTCTGACTATAGAAGTATCAGAAAAGGGTGCAAAGCCTTGTCCCATTCATTCTCAAGAACCAGGTACACCTTGGTTTAATGTATTGCTCTATCACTCACCAGTATGTATATGTGTATGTGTATGTGTATGTGTATGTATATATGTATATATGTGTGTGTATGTGTATATATGTGCATATGTATATATGTATATATGTGTGTATATGTATATATGTGTGTGTATATGTATATGTATATGTATATGTTATACATGTGTGTATATGTGTGTTTATACATGTGTATCTATGTTTATATATGTATAATGTTTATATATGTGTATATACATTTTTTAATTTTTATTTTATTATTTTGTGTGTGTGTACTGTCAAATCAGAACTGACGGGTACAGGAGGAGATTGCCCCTCCTTCTCCAGCAAAGCATCTGATGGATTCAAACCATGTACCTACCTCTGGGATTTCAGTGCAGCTTCTTGCCACTAGGCCACCAGAGCTCCCCTCACCAGTTATATTTATCCTAGACATGTTCTTAATGTTTCCATTACTTTTATCATTTTTGCAAAGGAGATAATGATAGTACCTACTTCACACTGAGGCATAAGAATGAAAGGGGCTAATATCTGCAAACCATTTAGCACAGAATCTGACATGCGTTAGAGCTGAAGAAATTAAGGATCTTATTATAGTTGCAGTCACTTTCAGAAAATGTTTGTGTGCCATAACAAGTAAAAAATGATTTAATACAAGGGTTGGCCAAGTCCCGCCTGCCTCGTGTTTCATACGGCCCGGCTCAGAGTGATTTCTACCATCTTTCAATGGCAGGAGAAAAAGAACAACAATAATTGTATTTTGTGATGTGTGAAAAGGAATCGAAATTAAAATTTTGGGTGTCCATAAATCAATGTTAATTGGAACATAGTCACACTCATCCATTTGCGTCCTGTCTACAGTTGCTTTTCCACTGCAACGGCAGAGCTGCCTAGTTCCAACAGAGACAAAGAGATGGTGGTGGTGGTGTAATGTGCCATTGAGTTCCCTCTGCGTCACAATGACCCTCAGAGTGATCATGGAATAAAAGAGAACAGAAGTCTGCCTGATCCATTAAGTCAGTTCCACCTGCTAGGAAACCTGTGTATGGCGGAATGAAACACAGCTCAAGCCTACTCCAGTCTCACCATCCTTGCTTTGTTCGGGGTTCTAGCTGTAGCCACTGTGTCAGTCGTCCCATTGAGGGTCTTCCCATTTCTCGCTGACCTTTGATTTCACCAAGCTTTACCAAGCATTTCCAGGGACTGGCCCGTCAGCTAACACATTCAAAGCACATGCAACAAAACCTTGCCATCCTCACTTGCGAGGGACATTCTGGCTCTATTTCTTCAAGGACACATTTCATTAACTCCTTCTTCTGGTAGAACGTAGTGTATTCACTCTTCTTTGCCAAAACATAACTCAAATGCATCAATTCTTCACCAGTCTTCTTAATCACTGTCCACTCTTGGAATATGAAGAAAATTCACTCAATGCTGTTGAGTTAGAACCGAAGTATAGCTAACCTTCCATTGGGTTTCTAAGGACAAGATTGCCCATTTTCTCCCCAGAAGCTACTCGGGTTTTGGAACTCCTAGGGAGACATGGCTTTTGGGTTGGCAGCACAACTCTCTATGGACTAAATCACAAGGGTTCCTCCATGAATAAGAGATGAGTTAAAATGCCATGAGTGGGGCCAGGCGCACCTTAATCCTCAAAGGTTCGCCTCTCCTCTTTAACACTTTAAAGACATCTTTTTCCCCCCTCATATACAATGTTATTTTTATGCATGTTGAATTTTAATATAATTTTGCATAAAGAGCTTGAGAAACATGTTAACTAAGCAAATCCACTCATTTGTTGTAGGTTATATATTTTCTTATTCTTAGGTGCCAACGAGTCGTGCACACTCATAGCAACCCTATAAAGAGATCTTTTGCAGCATACAGCCCTGAATACTCTATCGATTTCTTGACTACTTCTATGGATGCCAATTGTGGTTCAAAGTAAAAGGAACTCCTTGACCATTTCACTGTTGTCTCCATTTATCATGATGCTGCTTATTGCTTAAGTTGTAAGGATTTTTATTCTCTTTATGTAGAGGTGTAATCCATACTGAAGGCTGCAAGCTTTGATCTTCAGCAGAAATTGTTTCAAATCCTCTTCTCTTTCAGTCATGTGACATTGAGCATGTGCATATCACAGGGTGCTAATGAGTCTTCTTTCCAATCCCGATGCCATATAAAGTTTAACTTCTTGGAATATTTACTCAGAACACATACTGGATAAGCATGGTGAAAGGCTACCACCCTGATGGATGCTTTTTCTGATTTTAAATCACACAATATCCCTTTGTTCTGTTCAAATGACTGCCTCTTGGTCTCTCTGCAGGTTCCACATAAGCACAGTTAAATGTTCCTTGCAAGGTTATTAAAATTTATTATGAGCCATGCCATCAAATGCCTTTGCATTGTCAATAAAACATGAGCAAACATCTTTCTGATATTCTCTTCTTTTGGTCCATCTGAAAACAGTAATAACGGCTCTCATTCGCAACCTCTTTTGAATCCAGGTTGAGTTTTCTGGCAGGGTACTCTGAAACCATTTTTAAAAATATTATCTTCAAAAGAATTTTACTTGCATGTGATAGTAATGATATGATTCAATCATTTGCATGCCCTGGTCAACTACCTTTCTTTGGAGTGGACACGCACATGAACTCCTCCCAGCCAGTTGGCCAAGTATCTTGTCTTTGGAACTTCTTGGTATTGACATGGAGCACTTTCAGTGTTGCATCTGCTCTTTGAAACATCTCAACTAGTGTTCATCAGTTCCTAGAGCCTTGTTTTCCTCAAGATCATCAATGTGGTTTGGACTTCCTCTGCCTTCAATATCATTGGCTCTTGATCATGTCATAGCTCCTGGATCAACCCCAACCAGTTCTTGTTAGTACCATAGTCTGCTCATTCTTTCTATCATCTTCTGATCCCTCATGCACTATTCAGTAACAAGAAAGTCGGCAATTGCCTGATAGAATTTTCAAAGATAAATTATCTGCTAATTGATGGTCAACTCTATATGAACATTCCTCTAGGTTGGATAGCCCTGGGGTACAAGTTGCCATACAGTGGTCACTTGTGGTTGCTGAGAGGCTGAACACTGTGACACTGATGTGTCAAATGCGTTAATGGTTGGCTATGGCGGACAGAGTGGGGTGGAGCTCCCCGATTAAAACAAGCTTAGAAGGAGGAGTGGCATCCACTTCCATAATAGATTGCCTCCGGAAAACCTATGAACCTGGAGAGAGGATGAGAGACACTCAAGCGTTGAGGACTCTCCTTCATAGGGTCGCTATGAGTCGCCTGTGACTTGACGGCACTTAGCAACAACAATTGGAAAAACTTTACACACACAAACACCCCACACACCCAGCCACCCAACTATTGACTATACTTGTGGGCCACTGCTAAATGGAATGCATATTAATGAAATCAAAGACATCTATGGAAAGAGATCATGGGGAAGAACAGTACCATCAGTCAGAACAAGATCAGGAGCTGAATGGAGAAGCAACCATCGGATGCTGCTAGGCAAGTTCATGTCGAAGCTAAAGAAAACTTACACCACATCCACGAGGCCCAAGGACGTATCTTGAGTATATAACCCATGGATTCAGGGTATATATCAACAGATATATAACATATATAACAGATATATAACATATATAACAGATTTGACATGGACCCTAATGACTGAAGATCAGACAAGTTTGGAAGCTGACTCCAGGGACTGGGTATGGTTTGGGGGACATCTGGTCTGAAGGCAGAAAGCATTACCGTGTCAATGAGGAACGTGAAACCAGGGACAGGGAAGAGTATGATAGGCAGACAAGCTCTGTTACTTCAAATTGAGTCACATCACCAGGCCTTTTAAAAGCACCAGGTATCTCAATTTATAAAACAGTCACATTTTCTCTTACTGTTAAGTGGAGATGAAAATTATAGAGTCTGAGCATTTAGCACAGGTGTGGCTTAATAAGTGGGGTTTTCTTCTTTTCTCCTGATCCACTGAGCTAGTAACAAATGTCGTGTCAGAGATCAGAATCTCTGGTTCCCTTACCAAAGTTGCTTCTCCACACCCACTCTCTGTTTGCATTCACCTACACAGTCGCTTTCTATCACTTGGGAATTTTAAGAGATCAAATTTGGCTTAATACCATTTCCCCCCTAATCCCAAGGGTGGCAGGCTTATCCATGATAAAGCAATGCTTAGGGTCCTATTATACAGTCAATTTGCTATAGGCACCTGTAGATCAAAGTTAATTGACAATCAACCCATTCACTACCTGTTGGCACAGCAGACCATCTCTCAACACGTGCTCCATTAAAACTTCTGGTGCAATAGGATTACACAGACCTCTTTGTTACAATGGCCACAAGAACTCTTTATTTAATGGCACGCTTTTAAATGTCGCAGCTAATAAAAGTCAACACAGATGAAGATTCCCTTGCTACTCCTATAATAATCATACTTACTTACTTTCCCGTGTGTTACAACCTCCAATCATCCACTGGCAGGTCAGTTATGCATCAGTTCAGATGAGAGAGGGAGAGAGGGAGAGAGGGAGAGAGGGAGAGAGAGAGAGAGAGAGAGAGAGAGAGAGAGAGAGAGAGAGAGAGAGAGAGAGAGGGAGGGGAAGAGGGAGGGAGGGAAAAAGAGAGAGGGAAAAGGGAGGGAGGGAGGGGGAGAGAGAAGGACAGTAGGAGAGAGGGAGGCTAGGAGAGGGGGAAGAGACAGAGATTGATCTTGATCTTGCATGTGGAGA